CGAAAATGTCTATGGCGTTGAAAAGCGGAAGAACCAACCAACGAAAAAAATCAAAACTGAGCATGACGTGGAAGAGAAACCGAACATGGCGACAGCACCAATCTCGATCTCTGGAGATAGCGGGCTTGGGAAGTGGATGAAAGAGGAGGATGTGAAATCAACCCCAATCTCCACTACACCCAGCGTTGTGGATTTGACAGCAGGTATGAGATGGTTCACTTATCCCGTTTCCCCTGATTTTTGTTTTGGATTAATCTAATATTTTTTAGACCTTGTGGACACACCTAAGGACGATGACGAAGTCCTATGCACCGGTTCAACAGATCTCAGCACCCAGCGTGTCTGCTTCGGCAAAGTCGAAAACGCACTGGTTGCCGCCCATACGGTCCCAAGACCAGGTCCTTCCGTGTTCACTGACTGGTCGCACGCTTGGCCGTCAATCAAATTAGACCTGCAACGCCAGCCGGTTCAGGGAAATTTTCAGATTGACGTTGCGGACCCTCACGGCAAGGTTTTTGGTACAATTGACCCTAAAACGGCACAAGGACTGGTTCCACTCATGGACTCCAAAACACACATCATCGAAGTGACAGGCTTATTGGATATCCGGAGAGCCTCGCCCCATGAAGAAATTTGGGCTCCTACCTCAGGGATATGGCGTGCAACCCTCAATATCTACGGCCAAAGAAAGCACGCAGAGGCTGTCGGGAACTTCCTATCCCACCGCAATATCTGGCTAGGAACTCCGAATTCCGTGGACAAAGGAACTACTGTGTTCAATCCACACGCAGAGAGCCGACGCCAGCTTGCCGCCGCAACTGCTGCTGCCAACAACTCTGGGCGGTCTCGCCCGGGGCCAACCGTCCGATATGAAGCGCGAACTGCCGAAGAAGCCAATGATGCAGTCATGAAGATGTTTGACCAGCTCGCTAACGCGAACGTTCCGACGATGGAGCCGTCTCATCACATCACCACACCAATGCTGCATCACCAGAAGCAAGCGCTTTGGTTCATGACAGAGAAAGAAAAGCCGCGCAAATACGGCCGAAAAGAAGAAGACAACAATTCCTTGTGGCGAATGGAACGTGCACCTAATGGGAAGACTCAATACCGCGAGATCATCACTGGAATGATCTCAGAGCAAAAGCCAGAGGAGGCCCTAGGCGGCTTGTTGGCCGACATGATGGGCCTGGGCAAGACTCTGAGTATTCTTTCATTAATCACGTCATCCCTTGCGTTAGCTGAAGACTGGACTGAGATGGCTCCTGATCCTGTCCTTGTTCACCGAGTTCCAGGAATTCGCAACACGAGGACAACACTATTAGTTGTTCCGCTGAGTGCAGTGAGCAACTGGACGACACAGATCACAGACCATCTTAAGCCACGCTCCATCAGCTACTACATCTTTCACGGTCAATCGCGCATCACTGATTCCAGCCTGCTTTCCGAGTACGATATCATTATCACGACATACAGCACCATTCTCAGCGAGATCTCGGGGCGTGGCGCCAAAAAAGGAAAACTTAGCCCTTTGGCAAAAATGAACATGTTCCGGATTGTTCTTGACGAAGCTCATATCATCAGAGAACAAAATGCGGCACAGACTAAGGCGATCCTCGGGCTGAACTGCGAGCGTCGGTGGTCTGTTACCGGAACCCCAATCCAAAACCGCATGGAAGATCTCCTCTCTGTGACCAAGTTTTTACGGATCGCTCCATATGACCAACGAAGCCAATTTTCCCAACACGTATCTAGCCCGGTCAAAAATGGTGATCCCAATGTGCTTGCCAGGTTGCGAGTTTTGGTGGATTCATTCACCTTGCGCAGAGTCAAGGACAAAATCGATCTGCCACCCCGGACAGACAATATCATCGAACTACAATTCACCGAGGAAGAACAGCAATTGCATGACTTCTTCCGCGCAGAATCAAATGTCATGATGAGTGTCATTGCTGGTGAGGACAAACGCACGATGGGTGGCCGGATGTATCACCATGTTTTGAAAGCCATGATGATTCTTCGCCAAGTCAGCGCACACGGGAAAGAGCTTCTTGATGTTTCAGACCGGGCGAGAGCCAGGGGCTTTTCTGTTAACGACGCAATTGACTTGGAGGAGGGCGAACCGGACGCAACCCCGGCAGCCATGGACAAGAAGGCATATGAAATGTTCGCCCTAATCCAGCAAGCCTCAACCCCCCGGTGCTGTAATTGTAATCGAGAACTCGATGAACCTCTGAATTCAATGGGGGCTGTCGCCCGTGACTCTCCGATGGCTATTGTCCTACCATGTTTCGATATTTTCTGCCCCGATTGCTTCTCTGGCTGGAAACAAGCATTCGATTCGAGTCACGACGCCCAGATTCCTTGTCCCAGGTGCGAAGGCTGGATTCACATGAGATACTCGACCATCACGCCTGCTGGCTTTGAAGAATACGTGGCCCAACAGGAAAGTGATCGGCAAACCCGGAAGCTAGGCAAGAATTTGGGTGAATACGAAGGACCACACACCAAAACGATTGCACTAGTCAACTACCTCAAGGAAAGTGTTGAAGATAGCAAGAAGCTCGAAGGCGAGTCGCCTATCAAGAGTGTTGTGTTCTCTGGATGGACCTCACACCTGGATCTCATTGAGATCGCTTTGCAGAACAATGGGCTTGACGGGTATACCCGACTTGACGGTACCATGGGCATTCCAGCACGCACCAAGGCACTCGAGGAATTTGCTAAGAATGACAATATCAAAGTTCTTCTGGCAACCATTGGTGCCGGTGGTGTGGCTCTGAATCTAACCTCTGCGTCGCGTGTTTTTATCATGGAGCCCCAGTACAACCCAGCTGCCGTTGCTCAAGCGTTTGACCGTGTTCATCGTCTTGGCCAGACTCGCCCTGTGCAAACCTTCCAATTCGTCATGAAGGGCAGCATTGAGGAGAAGATAATGGAACTCGCCAAGAAAAAGCAAGAGATGGCCGACACGAGCCTGAATCGTGTGAAGCAAGACAAGCGAGAGACCCAGGAAGATCGCATGCGTGAATACCGCAATCTTTTCAAATAGATTCTCTTATCTTTTGTTTTCTCGTTCTAGCTGTGCATGCTTTTTTTTTTCTCGCATGCTTCAGTTCCCCGTTTACCCCTGCGTTTTTCCTTTCTATCCCCGATTGATTTTTTTTTGATTTTTTGATTTTTTTTTAAATCTCTGCCCCAGTCCCGGTGGCTCGCTGATTTCGTTTTTCATGATACCCGGAAAAGGAGAAGGCGTTTGTATCTATTCTTACATCTTTGATTCTCCTTATGATCATATCCCGGGCGTTTTGTTTTTCATTTTTCATTCTTATCCCACAGGTTCCAAGCACGTCTATACACGTTTTGCTTGCTTTAGCCATAGAAATGCATTTATTTTATGTGCCATTCATTATCTTTAAACATATTTAAACGTGCACTAGATTCTACACACTTGTGTTTTTACTTTCAAAAAGAGGGCATAGGAGTCGTTTATCCTCTTTGTATGACGAGATGTCATCTAACAGAAGAGTGTCCGGGAAGACAGCTTAAAATATGCCAATCAATGTACTTTTCTGCTTATAACCAGGGTTAAAAGCTATACCACGGTATTCTTCATTGATTGAATGTTTTTTCTCTGGTGACCTTTAAGGCGTACATGAACAGCCTTGGGAAGGCCGGATACGTGGATCATATTCTTGTAGGAGACCTAACCCTAACTGGTGTACAATATCTGTCCTAGGGTAATTCCTTTTACGTTCTATACTATGGGCGAGAGAATAATTTGTTCAGTCATGGTCTCCCGTAGTGGTTTAGTTCAAAATACTTATTGTAAATCCATAGACACAACAACCTTCTATGAACTTCCACTAACAAATGCCCTGCATGCATCAAAGAACCTCTAGTTTTATATATCACAGTCCTTCATTATTTTTAACCAACATCTCCCCCAACCCTACTTCTTTTATATAGGTAGATATGAATTACCATTATATACTTTTTGGTTGACATATGACTAAAATCCTGCCTCACTCTTAGTGGTTTTACTATTTATTTTTTTAAGACTTCGGTCAAAAGAAGGAGCCCAAGAATGGGCCTGATGACCTTTTCCCTACTATTTACGTTGTCTATCCTGGAATGTCATAAATGATGACTTTCTAGCCAAGCTCACCTGTTGCAAGGCCCTGTGAGACTTGGTGGTTTTTTAGACACTGAACTTGCGACTGGAGGTTCCGGGAAAGCCTCGATTACTGGCGTAGGAATGTTTATACCAGTCGACAGGCTTTCACAGAGTCAAAGAGAGTCGTGAGGTAGGGGGAATCCATCAAACCCTCCACCAAACTGACTACTGCTGACGTCGGTTACATTACTCTACTCAGCAATATTGTCAAGTGTTCTCATCCGTTTCTCGACCTCAGATCCGCTTATTACTTCACAAATCTTGTGAGATCCTATTGTTCGAAGAACATCCAACGTGAGACTAACATATCAATCTCATTAGACCCCTACGTCCCCTTACCAACGAACTCGATTCGGACAAGAAGTGCCCCATGTCACTTGTTCTAGCAGCCAGAGAACTGCTTCTCAAACCTCTTCCACCTTTCCGAGTAGGCTCTAGCCATACAACTAGTAGGGCTATACACCAGGTCGATTTTGTCGGCAGCTTGATGCTATAGCCTGACTTCAAAGGGAGGCCATTGCGGTCTTACCCAATAGTTGGGTCGATGCACTGAATTGTGCGGAGAAAGAGAAATGGCTGGAAGCAGCCCATGAAGAACTCCATGCTCACATTGAAAGTGGAAGCTAGCGAGTTGTTTTTCGTAAAACTGCTGATATCGGAAGCCCCTACAACACACGTTTTTTCTTTTTTATTAAGACGATTGCCAGCACAATGCCTGTCATGAAGTCTAGGCAGTTGCTGCTAAGCCCATGAAGCTTCTTGGGAGATTTCAACAGCGCTTAATTGATATCTACGTCATTTTGACATCAAACAGCATACCTCAATGCATCAGTTCAATACTCCCACATACGCAGCGAATTCAACCTCGACCTCGTCATCCCACAAGGACAACAAGACTAAGGATGACAAGAAAGGGTCCAATGACAAGTCCAGAGGCCAGTCTAGGAATAAAGATTCCAACGACTCGTCCTCTAATTCCAATGCTAAGGACAAAAAGCAGCAGAAGAAGCAGCCCTTCGAGCGTGAGAACGTCATCTTCTGCAAATACCATAATGCTCTGGGTAATCATTACTCCAGAAACTGCTCATTGAAGCATGGTAACAACAATAACTACTCTTCAAATGCTGTCATATAGTAGCCTCCCCAGCAGGTGACAGTCCCCCAACCAGGCCAAATCATAGGCCAGGTCGACAGCCAGGGACGCATCATTCCAGTACAGAATCATCAGCAATAGGGGGGGCAAGTGTATGAAGATCTCATTTGTTCTAGTTACGATGTCCATCAACTCAAAGCGAGGTACGACCAAAAAGTCAATATCGTTAGCCACACCCTGTACAAACCGGCCTCTGGCCAAAGACATCATTATTCTAGGTACCAGGATAAGATGGTATTGGCATTTTAAAAAAGAAAGACCCCATCGCAGGATTGGAAGAAGTTAGAATGGTACCATCGTGTGGTATTCGTGAGATTCATTCATGCCTGTGCAATCGATAAAAGACCCTCTCCATCACATAACGCCGAGAATATAACAAAGAAAATGGAAACCCGCTCTAGCCCTATCTGCTTCATATAACTCCAAAGTTGCAGGTAAATCGTACCGTCGCAAGAACACGCAGAATCACTTTTGAGGGTACCCATCCCCGTGGATACCCACAGTGACAGCGCCGAGAACATCCTCCAGCCGAGTCCTCAACTTTTTCAACTCCCGCACTTTCGCAGCGCGCTCCTTCTCAACGCCTCGAAGCTCGGTCTCCAGCTCCCGGATTCTGGTCTCCTGCTCAGCCTCGGAGGCGCCAATTCCAGGAAGCACGGAGATAAGGTACTCGATCTGCTGTTCCTTGATAATGAGATCGCGCGCAAGCTCCCGCTGCCGGCTCGCAAATGTGCTGGGTGAGTCTGGCGCGGGAGGAAGGTTGGGATCTTCACCTTCTACTGCTGCCCCTGGCGCAGCTCCGGGTTGTTGAGGAGGCGCATGTGGGGGTGATGCATTTCCTGCAACGGCGGCTGCACCCCCCACTTTATTTGCGATGGCTGCTGGGACCGGTGGTGATGACGAGTTCTTGGTAATCTTGGCTAGGGCTGGTGCTGCGTCGGGGACATTCGGTGGTGGTGTTGTGGGGGCATTGTCGTGGTATGTTGTGAGATAACCGAGTGTTGCGTAGAATTGTGTTGCGAGCTATTTTCCGTATGGTGAGCAAGGGTTTGAATGTAGGTTCTGTGGAGTGAATTTTACCTGATCCAGGCAAGTCTGGAGCTGCGTGAGGATGTCAGCCATCGTAATGACTCGAAGAGAAAATGATAGAAGTTTGAGGGTGACTTGAGAAAGAGAAGTTGAATGTCTGGTCGAACGAAAGAAGCGGAGCAAATGCGGAGAGAAGCTCCAATGCGGTGAGACGACCTTTTCTTCCTCACATCACCCAATGCGCCTGTTGCGACTACGACATGGCCTTGCTGCCGGATACCCTCTCTTGAAACTCAGAACATACAACTGTCGCTGCTTTTCTAGCTCCCAGGTTCATCATGAGCTGACACCGTTTACCCGCCGGCTCTTCAAACTCCCCTCGGCCCCATCTCCACCTTCGCAACACCACAATGACCTGACGACCTTTCTCTCCTACGCGGAGCATATCTCTCTTCCAGAAACGAGTACGGTACATGTCGGCACTCGCTACGAATACACCGTGCTTCAAACCTTACGTCGTTATGCGCTAAGCCTCGACCGTATCGGCGGTCGCGACGACGCCGGCATCGATCTCGTTGGCACTTGGCATCTCCCGGAGCGGGAGCGAGAGCGCGCACTGCGTGTGCTGGTACAATGCAAATCACTGAAGACCAAGCTGGGCCCTAATATCGTCCGCGAACTGGAGGGAACCTTCCGCCAGGCACCTGTCGGGTGGCGCACGGGCGAGACGGTTGGGGTACTGGTGAGCCCGCGCGAGGCAACCAAAGGCGTTCGTGATACGTTAGCTCGGAGCTCATACCCGTTGTTCTGGATGATGATCGAGCGGGACGGAACCTTGAAGCAGGCACTCTGGAATGCCCGTGCAGAGGAACTAGGGGTTGGCCCTCTGGGCGTGGAAACACGATATGGAACCACAGCAGACGCCGAGTCTGGCTCGGTTACAAAGGAAATGCTATTGACCTGGGATGGATGCGATATCCCCGATATGGACCAGGTGGAGCAAAATCTTACCGAGTACGCCGAGCAATGGGTCGCGTCCTGGGGCATGGACTTGTCAGAAATCCAGAAGGGGGAGCTTCTGGATACTGCAGAAAGAGTCCTACCACATGATGTTTCCTCCCAATTGCTCGATAATACCATATCGGACGCAGACCGGAAGAAGGTCATGCGGGCTTTACAAGAGCGGCTACAACAGCAGCTGACATCTGAGTGAACGTTCTACTACCTGAAAACGATGCTATATCCAGGCAGCCATATGGCTGCAATGTATGGGAAAAAAATTTGCATGGCTTATGACAGAAAATAACCAAAGGGTATAGAAACACCAACAGCGATAAAAAGACACGGCTTCCAGCCTCCAAATATAAAACGCCAGAGAACAGACACCCACAAAACCGCCCCTCGGCATGATCATCCTTGCATCGTTGACCAAAAATAGTTTGCGTAGAAGAAACGGGAGAATTTCGGGTCGATATTGACGACATGAACATCGCCTTTGCGGTTATTGCGAATGACCGCTCGGTTGAAATTGCCCGCCTCGTCGGGCTCGATATCAATACCGAGAGAACGGAAGATCTTGAGCCGTAGACTAGATGTATATTAGCAAGAGTATGAATCCAAGACCCGGACACAGCCACGCACATTGTCGCATCATCAGCCTCACGCTCGCGCCTCGTTGTTTCGTCGCCCTCGAGACCCTGGGACTCTAGGTCGACGAGTCTTTCCTTAAGCATCTCCAGCTCACTCTCCAGGCGCTCGCTTTCAATTTCTAGTTCCGATGCAGCCTTGGCGATGCGGAACTTCTTAGTATCCAATTCCACAATCTCCGCCGCGTGTTTGCCCGAGTCGTGCACGGCCACGGCCTCTTCGTGTTGTGTAGATAAGGAATTCAGGTGGCGTGAAAGTTTTCTCATGGCCGACTCGGCCTCGCGAATGCGCAGGTCGCGCGATTGCTGGAGAGTTGAGAGCGAGTCATTGATGCGGGTGACGGCTTGTTTATCAGGGTGGATGTTGAAGTTGCCGATTGTGTGGTGGATGAGCTGAAAGCGTCAGTAAATTCATTGGATTTTAATAATGAGAGCAAAAAGAATAGCACATACAGTTCCGGGGTCCTCGTCGAGTAACATGGTGTCGGTGGTTAACAAATGACGAGGTGGAAAGTCGGTTGTTTGGGTTTGTTGCGGCAGCAACAGCCACAGCACCGCCACATATGTTGCTCCTCCGCAAAGTGACGTTGTGTCCGTGATTTCTCCGTCCTCGCTTTTACCTTCTCGCCCAACGCAACCACGACTCTTACTTTTGACAAACAGTTATTGAATTATTAGAACTCTTGTTCTGATTAATATTGCTACCTCTAAAACCCACCAACTCCCTATCTCGCCATGTCCAACCTTCCATGTAGGTAGTCTGTTCCGACTGATGCCTGATTCTTGAAGACTGACTTGCTTTTCCTCTCTAGATGCCGCCGATGCGGAAAGGTTTGTTTTCCGCGAAAAAAATCTGCCAAAGAAAATATCGGAACCGTAAGAACTGACTTGACTACCGCCAACACAGTCCCTTGAAACCCGCCGAGCTACAGGTCCTCAGAGCGCAATACGAGAAAGAAGGCGACTATGTCGGAATCCAGACAAAGTTCAACTACGCATGGGTATGGTTTATTCATATTTGATCTGATGTTTCTGTGCTAACCGGTACTCCCCGCCTATGCGGGGGTGGTCTTTACTATAGGGTCTGATCAAATCCAACATCCGTTCCGAGCAGCAAGAAGGTGTTCGCCTGCTTTCAGAGATCTTCCGCGGAGCTCCGGAGCGGCGACGCGAATGCCTTTATTATCTGGCCCTCGGCAACTTCAAACTAGGCAATTATGGCGAAGCCCGCCGATACAACGATTTGCTTCTGGAGAAGGAACCCGCAAACCTCCAGGCTGCCAGCCTTGGGGGGCTCATCGATGATAAGGTCGCCAAGGAGGGCCTCGTGGGAGTCGCGATTGTAGGTGGATTGGCTCTCGTCGCGGGTGTGGTTGGTAGTCTCGTGATCAAGGGAGCCAGAAGACGGTAAACGCCCGTTGAGGATTTGCGTGGCCTGAAAAGGCCGTGACAACCAAAAAGGGTGTCTGTCCGGAGTATAACCACCTATGTATATTTTTCTGTGTGGGATCTGATTCATTGGCCGTTTGGCGATTTCTTTTCTATTGTCGGAGCATCGAGGGCGTTATCTTTGTCTCTACTCTCTCTCTCTAACCCACCACCAGGGTGGTGGTATGCTACATAACTGTCAGTCGTACATGACCCAAATTTATTCCATGCGTGTATACACGTAGGTTTCAGTAGCAAACCGATTTCGTCACATTCATAGATTACTATCCAGTATATACTTCAGCATCGAAGCTCACCACGCTGCAATATCGACAGTGTCAATTATTGATTCTCTCCAACCTGAACAATCTTCCCAGTCTCAACTTCATACACATAGCCTGTGATTGGAACATCCAAGACTAGAGGGCTATCCTTCAATATCTGAATATCATCCCGAACACTCTGCTCGAGATCCCTGAAGGACAAAAACGCAATGTGATCGGCGTTCTGGTGTAGATCCGTACGGATCTTGTCTCTGATTACATCTTCGGTGAAAGTTAGCATCCCACAGTTTGTCTGAAGATAGTCAGTATTCATTCATAAGTTGGCAAGACGTAAGCTAAGGTCGAGGCTTAGTCTCAATTGTTTGCAGGGGTTGTGTACATGATGCACGATAACAATCTCGCGGGTGCCCAGCAGCTGCTGCGAAATGATGACGCTGCGCAGTGCATCTGAGACCCTGCCGCCGGCATTGCGGATTACATGGGCATCACCTTCTTCAAGACCGAGGGCGCGGGCGGGATCTATAGATCACAAAGTAGGTGTGAGTATCATTCTTTTGTATTAGAAGTATGGTAGAGCATACGGACCAAGGCGCGCGTCCATGCAGGCCACCACGGCTACCTTTCTAAAATCGAAGAAATAGAGTCAGATTTGTCGTTCTGTAGGATACTTGTGTAGTAAAAGTTAGGGCTTGAACGAGCGCTATCAACACACCGCTGTGGGGGTAATTGTAGGTCGCCCTTGGTGAAGGATGCGACATAATTGGCATTGGCTGCTTCGAATTCCTTTGCGACAGACATGATAATTTAATACGTTTCGAATATATTAATTTAGAGAACCTTCGGGGCTGATTCTTGGTATATAAAGAACATGCACACCCCCGCTTCTGATGTGATATAGCGGAAGAATGGCAACACAGTTTGTCAATATTCTTCGCCCAAAATCAAGTTTTTGAGTGAGCAATAATCTTTAGTCCCTGTTTCCCCTCCCCCCTAAATTGAATTTCCGGGTGGGCTGGGGGGAGGGGGTATATGGATTGGCTGGAGTACGTTATAAAGGGGTTGTTTCTGTTGCTGTTACAGTTCATTCATATATCGAGACATTTGGCCTGTATGAAGTTAAGGAATAGTCCTAAAATAGACTCTACAGGCCTTTCTGGGGAGCTCTGGAAGTGAAGGCAATACCGCCGGTCTAGCTATGACCTACTAATTACTTCTAGCCCTGATAGGTTATGAATGTAGCGATTATTTGCAGTTATTGCTACCCATTCAGCGCTAAATATAGACAGCTAGATCAAGCCTTGAACTCCTTCTTCGCGACCTGTTCACAAATGCCACGCAAGACAACGCCAACATCTTCGAAATCACTTGTCTCCAAGTAAGTCTGGCCACTCAGGCGAGTCCACAGCCAAGAGCCATGGCGGAAAACCGGCAGGAAAGTGTTATGCACGTCCATCAATTGCGTCTGAATCCAAGAAAATGCCTGACGGGCTTCTTCCTCGGACAACACAACCAAGGGGGTATGGTCGAAAGATTCAGCTTCCTTTCCGGCAGTAGCAACAGCAATAGGAAGCCGGACCGTAGTCATAGCACACTGGCGCATACGGCTCTCTTGGCCAGGCTTCAGGTCAGGTTCTTGCATGACCTCAGTACCGAGAGTGGCAGCAACAGCATCGGCGCCTTCATTTGCAATACGTTGGATGTAGGCAATAATAGCATCTTCGCCTCCGCAGACTTCGGCGCGGAATTTCAGCGCTGCCGGGACGCAGATGTACGCGGAGTCGTCACTGGTGGCGACGAACTCGAAGAGTTGCTCGAAGGCAGTCTTTGTCACGGGGGCATTGGCGTCTTGCAATACTGAGGCGATAGTCTCGGGGGAGTCCGGAGCTGGGATAAATCCCCAAGATGTTGGCATGGTAGTGCGCAATAGATGCTGGTTACGTCGGGGGGTGTAGAGGACTGCACAGCTGCGGGGTGTGTAGAGCCATCTTTATGAAGCCGAGTCAATATTCGTGAGGTTGCTTAGGTTATTGGAAAGGGGAGGATGATGGGGATAGTTCATACTTGTGACAATTTGACACGAAGAAGTCAGGCTGAAGCTTCTCCATATCAAGATGGATGTTTCCAACGCCATGCGCAGCATCGAGAACACTCAAAATACCCTCTTCACGGCAAATTGCAGTAATCCGTTCAAAGGGAAACCGAACACCAGGGTTACTGACGATAGCGTCAAAGACACTAGCCCGGACCTTGAGTCCCTCTTCACGAGTTTGGCGAATAACCTCGCGGAAACGGCGTTCTAGCTCGTCTTCGGCAATGGGAAACTGGAAAGACACCTTTCGGGCTTGTAGAGAACTATGCTCCTGTAGCGAGACAACACCCTTCTCAACAGCACCGTAGACGGCCTCAAAGTAAATGAGTGCCTCACCTGGCTGGAAAGCCAAGTTATACAGTACCGTGGCCACGCCTGTAGTCGCATTTTTAACAAACACGCACTCATCCCGCTGAGCGTTGAGGAGCTTTGCAACAGCCTCACGAGCTTTGTCAAGATGCTCTGAGTGGTATTGGCGGATATATGGATCTGGCCGCACATCGGCGAGATCCATGAAGGCACGCTGTGCGTCCTTAACAGGAATCGGATGAGCACCAAACGATCCATGGTTCAGGTTCTTATAGGCGGGATCGAACATCCAGTGCTTCAGCATCGGCTTGCCGAAGGGAGTTGATTGAGTTGTCGCGGTCATGATGGGGAATTCAAGAAAGTTCGGAAATAGTGGGATAAGTTCGGAACACCACAACTTCAGCGGCTGGAAGAGAATTTAAAGACAACCCCGAAACGCAATGAGTCAAACTTGTTCTATGATAACTTTATCGTTGCTTCAAACACGAGGTCTGATTTAAAAAATACAGGTGAGTCACGCCGAGCCAATGACAACCCCTCTTGCGATGCTAACCGGAGATCCACATGCCGCCGAAGGGCGTAGAAGTAGAAAAGAGCTTGCGTCTTACAAAGCTGAAATAGGAGATAGATTAGTATGTTGATTGGCATTGCTTGCATTGACATGCTTGTACAGTAGATCTTGGAGACCATGACAATGCAGCCTTTTGCCTAACAAAAAAACATAAGTAGTTCTATAGTTTATCTCAATACAATTGTAACATACAGGGTGCATGGTCGCACTATATTGTATTGGATTAAATATTCAAGAGTTGGAAGATGCTAAAAGGTAGTGTATGAGTCTATCTGTTATGCCGTTTCTGATTCACTCTATATCCAATTATATCTAACGGAACTAAGGGAGAGAAACAAGCCAACTAAAATGGATCACGAAATCACAAGAGCAATTTCAATGATATAGATGTATTTCTAATCATCAAATCGTACAATCAATCTCAGAAATGCCCAATTTCAGGAATCGGCAGCAAGGGACAGCCATCATTATCGCAACCAATATAAGGCACGTTATTGCCCCACCAGTTGATATCAACAGCATGGAACTGGACAGCAAAGAAGATTACCAGACCGGCAATACCAATGCCACAGGAGAACGAGGAGCTAAGCACGTAGGCATACTTCTGCCACCACCGTTCGTAGCGACGCTTCACGTAGTAGTTGAAAACGTATCCAACGACGAGAGCCGGCCAAGCATAGGTGAAGTTGTAAGGGGCCCACCAAAGAATACCGGACAGTATGAGGGGAATATTAATATAGCGGACCCAAGAGTTGGGGAAGCGCTTAGCGAGGAAGTAGAAGGGGACGGGGAGAAGAGCGCCGGCAAGGAATCCCCATTCCAGAGGGTGGTAGATACCATGGTCACCGTAGATGCGCGCAGGGCCAATGACTCCCCAGATAACAGATGCAGTGAAAAATGTGTGGGTGTCTAGAAAGGTTAGCAATCTATATTCTGTATAGTAGTTCCTCGGATGAAGGGGTCTTTACCAGGACATGTGAATTTTGATGATTGATCAGAAGTGCAAACATCCTTGATATTGTTCATCTGCCAGGCATTGACTCCAATTGACACAAATGCAGCAATGATAGTGGCAACAGTCTGGGCGGCAAACATTGTGCGAGGAGGGATCTTCATGTAATGGCCCAATTTGAGATCAGCGACAAACTGAATAGACTGTGCCGACGCGATGTACCCATATGACTTGAAGATCATGTTTGCGACTGGGTTGTTTTTCACAGCGTATCCACCAATAAACTCAGCAATAACATTGTTGGTGACCTCGACATTGGTGACAGCTAGAATAATTCCGATGGGGATCTGCAAGAAAATACAGAGCAGCAATCCAACGACAATTCCCCAGATCGGCATTCCGGTGTCGTAGATGCTGCAGCAGACGCATCCGAAAATGAACGCGATGGCTAGGATACACAAGTACCACCATTCTGGGGCCTCTTTGTACTCTCGCATGAGGCGGTTGTGCACATCGTTGTACTCATCTCGGGCGCTCGACCACTTGAGCATCGCACGGAAGCCAGTCATGATCTCTCGCCTGTAGTAGAGTGCTGCGTACACAATAGTTGCCAGGTAGATGGCGAAGAAGCCGGAGTACAGGACTGAATTGGCGGCGCCGAGATAGGCTTGGCCGTATATCTCGTAGCCTTTTTCGTCGAGGGTATATTCTGGAGTGAGAATCCGGCTAACGTTATAGCTATTGCCGGTATTATCAAAGACATCGTTGCTGTTGATGGGGAGATAGGCGGAATTCCACGCATTGGAGAAGTATACAGGTATAATGATCACAAGGCCAGATAGAGCCATGCCGATCACTCCGTTCACCAACGAGAAGAATGGAGTGACAATTGGATCCCATGCATATGAGATAATGTTCCAGTCAAAGGTAGGGAGGGGATTGAATCCCATTCCTCCAATCGAGCCGGTGATGATAGCCAGTTTGATGTTTTCCGGCGCGATCCAAGTCATCCAATTGAAGTAAGACAATGCCTGGAAGATGTAGTCAGGAAACCAGAAGTAGAAGAACATTCCACCAAAGGCGTACAGAAAGAATCGATAGCGAGACATCGTCCATCCGTGCACTGACTCTGACTTGCCATCATTGTGCAGGGCTCGGTTGAGGGCAATCTGGGCCAGGTTCTTGGGCCACAACATGGCGGGAGGGTAGACCAAGAATCGACGTGTGATACCAGCACATCCATAACCAATCAATTGGGTAGATAGGGTCAGCATAATTTGGAATCCTGCACTGTTGGCCAGTTCCTTCATTCCATAGAACATGTCCAGCTTCAAAACTTGGAAAATGTAAGTCACGTAGGCGGTTCCATTGAGGCCTCCATAAGCGACATTGGACATAATAGTGATGAGCATGTGCTCTTTCTGATTGAAGGGACCCGGATTTAAGCTACAGTTTCTCCCAAAGATACTGTAGGTAGTGGTAGGTAGAACTCGAGCGAAGAATACACCGCAGGGATAGGCCACCAACTGAGCAACAACAGTATAGAGATAAATTCCGGGATACCGCAAAGAGAAGAACTGATCTATACCAGTGCCCAAGATTGTGAAAATAATACCAAGAAACCAAGCACGGAATGTGTTGACTGGCATCGAGGGATCATCGGTGTTGTCGACAACTGCACGAACTTCGGCGTAGGGTGAATCATTGAGAAGAAGATCACGTTCAGCCTGGATCTCAGCTACAAGACCCTGAAGACGGGTTGTTTCTAGCTTGTCGGGTGTCTCTCGCAGTGCAGCACGAGCCGAGTTAAGGATTCCAGTGGGGAAGTTAGGATCTAACTCGTGGTCTCTGATAGTCTCACGCAGGATGTCCAACATTTCTGATAGATCTGTATCGGAGACTTCGACAACGGCCTGGATTTTCTCCACGTCAAATGGACCCACCGCAGTGGTTTCGTAGAGACGACCATCTTTTTCTGAGTCTGCCATGGCGATAATCGATCCAGGTGGACCCTAGATAATATCAACGCAGGGGGGTTCTTGGTAGCCTGCGGTTGTAGGCAAGTCGTAAGTGACCGTCTTGGACCACAGGAGTATAGCCATGCTTTATATCCATTGCACGAACAACACCATAGTATGGATTCTTTGTACAATCCAACGGCTGTCCGCCGGTGCTTTAGTCAATATGGCTAGATAAGGCGAATGTCAGGTTTCAGCCAATAAGACTCATCGTTCATATCGGTTTCTTGCACAGCAATTTAATCGAATTGGTGCTATAATGGTTGGCGCCGGAGTTGGTGAGCAAGCTTCTCACTAGCATTGCTAATTAGACTTACCGCGAGCCGTAATTGGTCCTTGCGCTATCTGAAAGCTTGGCTCTCGGACTAAGAGTCTCTACGACGCTATTCCGGGTTCCACCTCGAGGAGACTTGTGAAATTGAAGGCGAGTGACCAAATTAGGAAGCAGGTATAGCCAATCAGGAAGAAGGTACATATTTTATATCAATATCTACAGCGCTATGTTCTCTGTTAGGGCCCCATTAGGATAAATGATTTCGGAAATTCAAGGATTCTACATATGTAGTTCCTATTTAATAATGTTGGAATCTCGAGTCTATCTGACGAGCTTTTTTGCAAGTCTCCCTGGGCTGCTTGGGCTGTCCTAAAACAATCAGTACTACGTACTCCATACTCCGGACGGAGTATACTGTTTGTGAACGCTCTTAAAATAATTCCCCCGGACCCACCTTAAATCCGACGGAGCTCCGCATTCTCGAGTGGTGAAAGGCGAGAGAGATAGCCAGTCAGCACTCTCTTTCTGCTTATCGCCAATACTTCTTCGTGCCTGTATTGGGTCAGTCATACTTGACAAGAGATCTGACCACCGAAGCCATTTTGGCCTAACGATCAGGGAGAGGCCCATTGCGTAGAAGTCTGGTCTTTGCCATGGCATAACTCTCTCATTGGATGATATCTAACTACAGCAGGAACATGGGGGCCGCATGCCGCGCGGCACTGTAGTTTTTGCCAACTATAGTTCCTATTCCAGGGTCGCATTAGGGTCTGGGAATCATCTTAGCACTGGTCCGGTCGATCCCACCTCGCTCGGAGCAATTCCCTTTTAGGCATTCTAGCATTGCATTATAATTCAGAATACATAGTATAATAAGCATCATCAAGATATACATTAAAGTCAACATCGAGATGTATCTCATCACGATCAATACCCAAACAAACAATGACCTCGGGACCAGGACCATGCTCCCCAGGAAAGGGACTACCGGGGGCCAACGTAAGGGCTCCCATGCCATCGGCTAGAAATCAGGATCCGCAAGCCGCTTCTCCTCTTGTTGTCAGACACGGTTTTCGAGGGCCATTTCCCCCGGAACGTCCTCAGAAGAGAGATGCCCCAGAATAGCAATGGCTTCCGAAAACTTTAGCTAGCAAGCTGGACTGGAGGTCTTGATAATCTGGACGAACCCCATCAACTAATGAGAGAGGCAATACTGTTTCTACGAGTAACATGACATAAGATGCTATCAGATTTCGGGCGAATCCCATGTTTGAGGAGTTATAACAAGGAGGAACCCGGTTGATCGGTTGCTATGATAAGCGGGTCGTCCAAGTAACTGCTTGGTGGCTTCGCCCCTGCCTGTAGAAGACATTCGAGATAGCTTCACACCCCCTCCCAACCGCTTCGCCTGACGCTGTAGAGTCGTCCCAACAGTTGAAAGGACCTAATGGGGCTTTGTTTACAACCATCAACTAGACAATAGCTTGGTGGCCATCGTCAATCGCCCAATGTCATACGGTGCACAGCTGTGACGGCACACACATACGGCTTGGTCGAGTCTCAGAAAGCAATATCTCCAAAGTCTCCACGTGGTCATTTTGAGCGGCTAAGAGAAGCGAATTACGCTATGTTCCGCGCTCGTAGCCTAAATGGGCATCGTTGAACTGTGGCTCAAAGAACGCGATGTTGGTACCAACATGCAGGAATCTTTTGGCAAGAGACGAGTTTCCATTTCTGGCCGCGGATAAAGGGCCAGAGCCTTGGTGACGCTGAGAATTGAACTGACACAGAAATGGGGGTAAAATATGATAGAACCTCCACTTGATTCGTACCGGAGCGAAAATGTCTTTCTGGTTGGAAAGAGATTTAGCCACCGGAAGAAGCAAATCATTTGGGGTTGACAACTGCTCCGCCAATGGCATGCAAATGAAGCAGCCTCATCCCCTCGATCAATTTGAAATCTGGACACCTCCGTAACCAGTAATTCGGCCGTACCCCATCGACTTGGCGATTTGAGTCGTGCACGGCTGGTGCCAAGGACCACTTAAGGTACAAGGATCTAATCAGGTGTAACCATAGCACATGCCCCCTGCAATAATTTTAAGAGGTCGATAAGCTCTCATCGGCGAATATTCGGAATCAATCGTGCAATTTGCGACATAGCAATCTTCAGCCCTCCGGCCAGCGTCAAAAGCGCGGTGGTGGAGTGAGCTTGCGCGTACTGAGTTAGTTAGCTTGCGCGTACCAAATCAGAAGTGACACCAACAATTAGCTGTGAATGTGGCTACATATTGGGCGGCTTGTGCGGGAGCTTTGGGCACTCCCATTCGATTACTCCATGGCTTAAGATAGGAGACTCGTGTAGTCAATGTGGAAAACTGGATGGAGGGGTGGGACGTTGTTTCGGCGACTTCGGGCAGTCGCTGCCAGTACATGCCAGTACAACCAAATCAGCTACAGCCAATTGTTTGAATTGCCGGGCCACATGCCCTGTGTTCGTGTGTGCATTATATGTTTACAGGTAAAGATGTGCGTTATAAATCACAAAGATTATCGAAATCCCAAGGCCCACCAATTGTTGCCAGCCGAAGAGCTTTTTCAACGCTCTGCCGCTGGAATACCGGTCCATTCCCAACGCATATGCCTTCTTTTGAGAGACCTACAGTGATGTTAATATATTTCTTTCAAGGAGTTCCGTTCCCAAGAACTCACATTTGATGAATGCTGTCTCATCAAGTGATGCGGAGACCGTATAATCAAGACGTCCAGAGGAATCGGGAAAGTTGTCAAGAATCACCCTCTTGGCGCGCAGGTATCCTTGCACTCCGCTGGCATCCATCCAGTCACCAGAAGCTGATTCGAGCGCAATCTGCCATATCTTAGACGGGAGCTGGAGTTGTTCATTCGAGAACATGTTTATATTGGTTTGCAGGGAGTGAAGTACATGGGCCTTGGGTTCTGTCAAGACACCCGTCTTGTCCTGCATGACAGCGTAAAATGCCGTTATCATACGGTTGCGTTCTGACAGACTCAGAACAGAACCAAACACACGTTGGGCTGCGGGACTGTTTGGACTGTCGACAAGTAGGCGATATCCGCCCTGACAGCAAGTCCTGACTAGACGTTGTGCGATATTCCACTGTCTGTCAGGCGTTATATTCCTAGAGAATAGATCTAGTGATGGAGAGTTCGATAGTGGCGGAGTGATATGAGGAAATTGAGGAAATTGAACAGGAGGTGAAGGCATGACGAAGCCGAATGGGAACACAGATCGACTTTCATATGGTGGAGTAGGAGGGGCGGGCCATCTCGTAGCGACTGATCGTGTTATATCCTCGGCATCTGTTGAAGCTTCTGAGTATGCGTTATCCGGAACTGGTGACGAGGCTGTATTATTATCTGTGATTTGAAACTCTTTTGCGGCCCGGACGAGGGGGAGTGCTCCTTCAGACGGATCGTCGCTCCCAGCCTTCGCGAGCGACACGCATTGCTGAGTTATGTTTTGAAGAGCCGATGCAATATGCGGATATTGCGAGAGGAGTTGCTCTTCTATAAGAAGACTACTGAAGGAGAGGAAAGATTGGCTGATATCCTCGATGCCGGTTTCTAATTCGTGTACGCGATTCTGCAGGTTACCGATCGTGGTTTCCTTTCTTTTGCGATATGCCTGCTGTGCGAGGCGGAGTTGTTTGCGACGTCTCTAGAAATTCATGATTATAAGCATAGCCATTTGGAGTGTTTGGATTTGACCCACCTCTGGCACTTCTTGCTCGTTGGTAACAGTTCGAGGACGACCGCGTTTGCGACCACTCGGTTTAGCCGTTTCTTCACCCATTGTATTGCCCGAAATTAGATTTGTGAGAATATCTCTGCCTCGAGCTATATCGAAAATTTGCAACCCCTTTGAAACATCGGGATCCTTTAGGAGAATGACAAATGCGGTGGCGATAAGTTGGTTAGACAACTAGCCGAGGAGCCGCCGGGATGTTGAATAATCGGAAAATCATGCCCAGTGCGCGGCGGGCGGATGACATAAGACCCTTGCATGGCCACCGCTAGGCGATTAAGGTTCCGTGGATACTCAGGCAAATTATAGATTTCCATTGGTCAGTCGACTGAACATCGACGATGGACCCACTATCCTCTCCTTAATTCATACTACATCCATAGGGGGTGTCAGTTCGGAGTAAAAGTGCCGGGAGACTCGTAAAATGGCTTAGAGTTGAGGGAGACTCGAAAATAATAAATTTTATGATCAGATTATGATATCAATAAAATTCCGACATTTACTTAACCCCCCCATCTTCTATTTTTAAAATTTACCTATTATCCACAATAACGTCGTTAACACAATAGCATTATTATTATATTAACCCAATGATAATGACAACTTTCTTCTACAATTTCCCCTTAGTTTTCAAGGCTTCCCCTACTACCTATAAGACAACGGAGAAGGAGCTTTAGTTATATTAAGGAAGTTCTAGTAGTAAGAAACGTTTATATGTTAGATGCATATTTAACACTTATGAATATATACTTTAACATATACACTCCGGGGTTATAAAAATCACTAGTAAACTTATAAGTACCGCCGAACTACCATATAGAAATACACTATAATATAGAGGTAAATTACAAGCAATTTATTATTCAATTAAACGTGAGCAAATATAAGATATGTTATAGTACTCGGTGA